ATTATTATTATTATTATTATTATTATTATTATTATTATTATTATTATTATTATTATTATTATTATTATTATTATTATTATTATTATTATTTCGTTAGAAAATTGTTCGATCACTCAATCGATAGATCAATTATTTCCTCAGATCGTTAATTTTCTATCTCGAAGATGCATCGACACTTCTGTCACTTGTAATGTAACAAACTTATCTCTATACGTATATATATGTGTGTGTATCTATGTATAATATATACTTATGTATGTTGAATCAATTGATATGATGTGGGTTAATCGATTTCATGAAAGAATTTGCGCAATCGTTGCGGATCGCCAGACAAGTTATCGAAGGAGAGCGGAAGATCGAATCTCGCGTGCAGTCAGGGTCGTATTCAAATTTTTCAAGGCCTTAATCCTATGCATAAATATTATTTCAAAATAAATATTTTTATTTTTATTCGTATTTTTTCTTTTTTTTTTTTTAAATTTGCCGAAAACATTCATCTCGATAATTTACATCTGATTTATAGAAGTAAAATAACGATATAACATAACTCGTATTTCCGTTAATTTTCGGGTAGTATAATACGCATTAAATAAATAAAAGTAATATAACATTTTTTTTCTTTTTTTAATTGAAACTTAAGTAACGAAAATTAGTGGAAGATTTTTCTTTTTTTCTTTTCTTTTTACGATTTGTACTTTTAACAAATATATATACAAATGACTAAGAACAAATTTTAATTTATTAAAATAAATATTAATTATTATAGATATATATACATATATATTTACATTATTGATATATAATATCAATTTGATATTTTCAATTTCTTTATATATATATATATTTCTATATTTTTACTATATTGATACTTACACTTATCATCATAATGTACCATGTTCACGTTGATGTATCACGTCAGCAAAAAAAAAATAACATATAATTTTTGTAGAAAATTGATTGTATTTTCTTCTATTAATAAAAAAACAAGAAATAGAAAAAAATATTGATACTTGAGAGAATCAATATTTGCTCGAAAATATGGTGCGGCCCCCTCCCTCTCCTACCACCCCTTCTCAAGAAAAGTAATCTTACATTTTGTAATTTGTTATTACGGCCCTGTTGGTGACTGCGTGCTCGCATATCAGAAAATTCGAAACGAAAAGCACTCTGACGCAATGATATATTATCTCTAGACACAAGTCCTTTAACAGTTTTCTCTTCTAATAATAAATAATATCGAAATAGAAACGATGCATATTAATCGATTGGACAAGTTGATCAATCGATCGGTGTAAAATCACGCGTCTACAGTGACACACGTGTCTTCTGATTTTATTGTTTCATACAAATTGTTTTTTTTTATTTAAAACCAATTTTTTAGTTCACATTTAACTAGAATTATTAAAATTAAAAATTCCACGTCAAATTTATTGTTCTTCTTTAATTAAATCGCATGGTTATAAAAGAAATGGTCATAATAGAATGAATAAATCCAAATATTCGTTCTTTCACCGAACAAATATTTGTTATTTGTTGACAAACGACCATGCGAATCTTGACACTGTCCAATTTCGTTCTTTCACGGTAACATATATACATATATAGATATACAAGTAACCTTCTCAGGTAATACGGTTAAAATAGATTCTTAAAAAATACTGTGTTGCGAAACTCCCATAGTTCATCATTCTTTTAAGATAATTTTATTTTCAAATGTAATGGTAAATAAACAAAAATCATGTTATCCAACAGTGCTGTAAAAAAATGTGTTGCACACAAAAGTTAGTCGCAATTTTTTTCTTTATGATGCTGTATTGTAAGATGGGTTATACCATTATACAAACACGTAAAATTTCACTTCGTTTTGCGTATAAATAATAAAATTTGTTTATAATAATTATTTTTTACAGATTACAATACAGATGAGATAGCAGCACCAGTTTTATTAAGGGACGACAATTCGGGAGAAAAAATTTACGTTGGTGATCGTACACGAGAACGTAGATCGTTAACGGTGAAAACGTCGATGGATCGTTTTAAAGAGGATTACGATGATGATGGTGGTGGTGGTGTTAGTAGGAGTAGGAAGATCAGGAGAGAGGAAAATTACGCGGAAGAGGAATTCACGCAATTCGTCGGTCACAGGGAACATCGTAATTCTCTTCGGGACAGCCGGTATATATCATATTTTTATTATTTTTCTTTTTCTTCTACTTCTACTTCTTCTTCTCGTTCTTCTTCTTCTTCTTCTTCTTCTTATTATTATTATTATTATTATTATTTAAATTTTATTTTCATAATTTCTTACTTAATCGTTACATAATATTCCAGATATCCATCTATAAATTTATTTCTGGAGAGATAATTTAAAATAAGAAAATTGAAATTTGATATCAAAGTAATATAAGAAAAGAAAAAAGATTTTTTTTTTTTAGTGAATTTCGTTTTAATACCTTTCTATAATACTGTGAAATGTGTGTATGCTTTTTTGTTTTCCGTTAACCCTTTGAGTGCTGAATACTTTTAACTAAAATGTTCTGTAGGAACGGAATAATTTATTAATAATAAATTATATTTAATAATTAAAGTTTCTCTTTCTGAATATAATTTAATTCATTAATATCAATATTACATTATTTTAAATTAATATTAACAAACACGTATATGCGTTGAAAGACCACGCCAGTAATTGTTACCAAACGGATATATGCGTCTATAGCACTCTAAGGATTAATTATATCTAAAAATATTCTTTATTACATAGAATAAAATATTTTATTTAAAATCTATAAATTTGTTGTTTAATAGTTAAATATGGCTTATCTCTCTGAATTACATATATATATATATATATATAAGTTAACGTTAAATTGTATAATATGCAGGGTAATTCTTGGAACAGAGGCGGGTAATAATTTCTTTTTAAGTAACAATAGAAAAAAATCATAAAGGAAAAAGTTATATGACACAACAAATTTCAACTTTCTATGACCTTACTTTTTTTGAAAATGCATCGATGCACCCGCTAGATGCAGTTATACTTTTTTTTTAAATAGAACTTTATTTTTTTTTTTTACACTATTCGAATCCTTTTTTTATTCTGCATAAAAAAGCATAACGTTAAGGTCATTGAAATGTCAATAGTTTACGAGAAAATTGCTCGAAAATATACGAATATATATATATATATTATACAGTAGTATATATAAGTAACGAACTTTCTTTTAAAATAAATTATATTGTATAAACATACATTTCTATATCCGTACGATTAGAAAATAGGTTATAACAAAAAAAAAAATAATCCTTTATGGGTTTAGATAAACGTATACAAAGATAGATAGATAGATACATATACACTTCGTTACGTTTCATTCACGGTCTGGAGAATTGTGTAACGTATAACTATACGTATATAACATGAAGTCGATACAAGAGATACCAGCAAAACGCAACACGCTATCTTGCATCATAAAGCATGCATACATTTGGAGGGTTAGCATTCCTAGGATACAATTTTATTTCTCTCTCTTTTTTTTCCTTTTAATATAAATTTATTTCATTTTCTTGTTGTTGTTTATTTTCTTTCTTGTTTTTCTTTTCTAAGAAAAACCTATTCTCCTTTTCTCTCTCCCTCTCTCTCTCTAGATTTTTATCCATCCATCCATCCATCCATCCATCCATCCATCCATCCATCCATCCATCCATCCATCCATCNCCATCCATCCATCCATCCATCCATCCATCCATCCATCCATCCATCCATCTATTTATCTATCTCTGTAAATTGTGATATCGTCCTTAGGTATTACTCTGTTGAGCGCAGACGAAATTATCCTAAGGAGGGATATCTCCAGGACTCGGAAATGGAATCTGATCCTTTCGTGGCTTGGAGACCGCAACGTGCATTACCGCGAGAATATTTTATCGAGATTATGGTAGTAGCGGATGAGAAGATGGCAGAGTATCACGGGGAGAATCTGGATAGTTACATTTTAGTATTGATGAGCACGGTAAGAGATTATCTTACAAGTTAATTTCTTCTTATCTTATTATATTTTCATCCTTTTTTTCTTTTACAAAAATAAAAAAAAAATAAAAGAACAAAATTTAATATTTACCATTTGTATAATATCTACATGAGTATATGCGTTTGTGTTTGTGTGTATATGTGTGTATGCAAGAGAGAGAGAGAGAGGGAGAGAAAGAAGATATAAAAATCAATATTTAATGCGTAATCTATCTTACGTATAAAATTAAAAAATAAATATTCTCAATATTCTAACTTTCCTATCTTATACACGATAAATAGTTATATAAATTAAATAGATGAACAGAAAAGATAAAAAGACAAATATATATATATATATTTATTTATTTATTTAATTATTTATTTTATTATTTTAATATTTATAATATTAATATTATATATTAGTTTATATTTATTATAATAATAAATTAAAAATAATTAATAATAAATAAGATAAAAATAATAAATTAAAAAATTATATAATTATAGTAATAATTAATATATATTAATATTATATATAATAATAATATATAATATATATTTCAGTACTATTACTTTTTATACGCGGGAACAATGGCGGGATTTGGTATTTGCGGCAATGAACTTTCGAGTTACTAATGCCAATTAATAATAATTACCTTTATACGTGTGAGAAAGAAAGATAAACGCTCAATATTTTGACTCATCTATCTTATGTGTTTAATATATACAATAGATAAAAAAGAAAAAAGAAGAAGAAGAAAAGAAAGAAAATAGATAGAAATAAATATTTGACATTGGTCTCTCACCTAAACATATATATATATATATACATATATATATATAAACATATATATATATATACCTAAACATATATATATATATATATATATTGCTCAAATAAAAGTAAGAAAAAAAAAAGAAAAGAAAAAAAACATGAAATCCTTGAAAAACAAAACGACAAGCATAAAAGAAGGACCATCGATCTTGTAAATCCGCAGACGTTATGTCGCATTCGTTAAATATTATGCAAATATGTAGACCTGTAGTCTCTCGACACCCACTGTCTCTGTCCCCCCCATTCCCACCGCTCAAAGTCTAGTATACATATATATTTGTTCCTAAATAATCTCACATTCTCAGTTGTGGTTAAGGTAAGAACTCGGGTGAAGAACTTTCGACCATTAGTCATCTTGTATCAAGACAACCGTATATAAACGTGTAAAACCTCCTAACCGTGTACCAACTTCCGTCATTCAGTGAAATTTGATTATTTGTAAAAGTAAGTAGCTACTTTACTCAACTAGTCACTTTACAGAGAGTCAACAGATAGATAGATAGATAGATAGATAGATAGATAGATAGATAGATAGATAGATAGATAGATAGATAGATAGATAGATAGATAGATAGATAGATAG